TCTTTGTCATATTTTATGATAGTCTTTTTTTGTCTTATTTTCTTTTAGTTTTAGTGTTCCAAATTTTGTAACTTAAATTTATGCTAATTATTAGAATTCTCCCATTGTGATCAGACATCTCTACCTTACTGGGAGGTCTAGTTTTCAGCCCCAAATGCTGTATTCAAAGAGTTAAAGAGTTAAAGAAAGATCATCGAATTATCACAGCATTTTGACTCCAGATCTTCTTAGTATTCTTATTAATTCCTTTCATTCCTCCAGAATGTAAGAAAGGAGGCTTTTGAATTCCAGCACATTTCACAATTAAGCAGTCAACACTATCTGCTATCATTAGGATTAAGCAGATCCAATCTAAAAATTTCCCTAGTGATAGATTCATCATTAGTCATTAGTCTCACAGTTCTTAATTAAACTACCAAACTGTTCATCTGAATTCACATGCAAGACATAGAAATTTTTTTTAAAAAACTATACTGAAATACAAATGAACGTGCTCACCTATAGAAATGTGTATTACCTTCAAACTACAAGGAGCTATCACTGGAATCACTGACTCTTCAAATCAGATAATCAGAAACATTTCTATTGCCCAGCTAAACTCCTTAGAAAGGAGAAACACTTTGAAGTAAAACATAGTCCACAGAACAGTTTAAAGTAGGAAGGACAAACACACTTTCAACAACTCTAACTCACAAAATAGGTTTAAAGTTAAAAAAAAAAAAAAGCTTTAAAAGCCTTAATAAGTAAAAAATACATTTCCACAAGGTTTGTAATGCCCAGTCAATAAAAGGAAGAAGAAAGCACTTACACACTCAGCAAAAAAAAAAGAAAGAAAGAAAGAAAGAAAGAAAGAAAGAAAGAAAGAAAGAAAGAAAGAAAAAATTAAATAAATAAATAAATAACCCATGAAGTTGAATCTTTATTTTCTCCTTTGGATCCATGACCCTCAAGGCTCCCCAGGGGCAAAAGCAGTTATGATAAAGGCTGTTCTGAAATATTTTTAGCCATCTCTGTCAATTCATAAGCCATGCTTTTCATTTTTAAATAATTCACCTTAAAATTCACTTTCTTCAAGTCATTTCCATTATGCTCCCATTTTCCAAATTCATCATTTTTTAATCTCATTTTCTTAGTTAATAAATACAGAAAATTCTCAATTACTTTCTCAAATAAATAGAAGTCATAGTATAAGTAATTCAGAAACCATTTCTATTTAACTCAAAATGTATTTAATTTTGTGGACAACAGACTAAAATCCCTTTTTTTTTTTCAGGGTAAATTTGGAATGAGTTTATAACCCCTTAACACTCATCAACTGGTAATTCAAGGAATGGAGTGGCCTTGCGATTGTGCAAGTAATAAAGTGACAGGTAGCAACCTAATTTGGCTGTAAATACATACCAAACTATTCAAATAGTGAAAAGCTTGCTGTAGCTGTATACATTTTTCCTTTAGCTACATACTTTTATAGTCTATTCTCAATCATCCTTGCCAGTGGAGGGGAACAAGATAGTGAACAAAAGTCAACTCTTCCAAAATCATTCCAACTTGCTTTTAAATGTGTAGATACTGACATTGTACTGGCTATCAATTCAATCTAAATGAAGCATTGTGAAGTTACTGCTGAGGTCAGAGAAAGTGACCAATGTCTGATACTTAATTTGTCTGAAATCTTCCCAGGAGAGTTTATATTCAAAAGTCACCCTTGACAAAATTCAGTCTTTATCCAAAAAGTAAGTCCATAAAGTAAATTAACTTTTAAAAATATATAGCTACTGTTAATGAACTTTAAAATAATAATGATTTCATTGTCAGTGATTTCCCTAAAAGAATAAGATATTTTTTCTTTAGTTTTTAACATGTTTGTCCTTGCTCCTGACAAGAAGCTGTCAATATGTGACATTTGTTTACTATCCTTACTATTATTAAATTCCTTACTTCACAGATTATGCAAATACAGCTCAAAGAAGCTAGGTAACTTGATCAAGGTTCCACAACTAAAATGGGGTGAAGCTAGACCTCAATTCCTCAATTCCAGGCACTAAACTCCAGAGGCCAGGCTCTGGGCCAGATTAATGTGTCTGGGGAAAAAAAAAAATTCAACTTCTCATGCAACGTCTATGATTACTTAAAACAACAATAATTTTTGAGTGTATGAGTTATGTCCTAAAAGCAAGTAATGCATCCTTTCGATGACTATCACCAGCCCAAGGATACTGCAGTTTTGCAGTTTGGTGACCCAGCTGTTTTCCATGTTCCCAACCCTTCAAACCCTGATGTGATATTGGATTGGACTGAAGCCAGAAACTATGGAGTAAGCAAACAAAGCAAGTTTGTATACTTCGATAACAAAGTTATTTCTTGGCTGTTTCACCGAAACCTGAGATTCTGAAGGTAGCTCACAGGGAAAATTAAATCACTATTATAGTCGTTGTCCCCATCATCTTCTGTTCTTTTCACATTTATCAATGTGTTATTATCACATTCATTATCTGTTTCATACCAGTACTTTTTTTTTAAAGATTACTTGATTCTCTGTGGATCTGAGACTAAGACAATGATCACAATTTGATCAATCTCTAGACAATGGTTTTTAATGAATTTGTTCAAGGAAAGTGTCGAAATCTGATAGAAAACTGAGCCTTCATAATTCATTCTGATTCCTCAACAGAAAAATGAACTTTGGTAAGTCAATAGGATCAACTGAGACAACTATGCTTGAATGTGTTTCCCTAGGTTTAATGTATTTTTTCTCACTGAATTATATTTTAATGGTTAATTTCATGCTCTCTCATGGCATTTTAGCTTTCAAATCATGGGTATTACTTTAAGGGAAAAGTAAAGTACTGTGTGTGATGAAAGATGTCAGTGATTAAAGAGTGTTGCACATATTAACTACACAAAAGCTGAAGGAGTTTGAACACCACTATTCTAGATTATAAGTAGTAGTAGGCAAACTGGCCACACAGACTAAGGTTAGACTGAGTTGAATGGAGTGGGAAGGCTTAGATTTCTTAAATGTTCTTGGTTGAAACAATATATAAAATTAAGCTGAACATTTAATATTTCACTGGCATCTTTTTCCTCAATGAAATGTAGGTAAGAACTGATCTCAAAGACAATTGCCAGGGAGATACAGAGAAAGAAATCAGTTAAGCAGATAACAAGGTATTCTGAGGGGCCAGCCCGGTGGCGCACTGGATAGTGCGCCGCTTGGGAAGCGCGGCGGCGCTCCCGCCCGAGGGGTCGGATCCCACATACAGACCGGTTCCCGCTCACTGGCTGAGGGAGGCGCGGGAGCAACACCGAGGGGTGCAATCCGTTGCCGGACACGGAAAAAGACAAAAAAAAAAAAAAACCCAACAAGGTATTCTGAGGGGCCAGCCCGGTGGCGCACTGGATAATGCGCCGCTTGGGAAGCGCGGCGGCGCTCCCGCCCGAGGGGTCGGATCCCACATACAGACCGGTTCCCGCTCACTGGCTGAGGGAGGCGCGGGAGCAACACCGAGGGGTGCAATCCGTTGCCGGACACGGAAAAAGACAAAAAAAAAAAAAAAAAAAAAAAAAAACCAACAAGGTATTCTGAAATTAAACAGCCAAAGGCCACCCATCCTCTGACACTCTAATATCCGAAATTAGCATTGCCTTAATGCTGTCAGAAGTTTCTTATTTGACCTATGTGACCAAGTAAAATAATAATAATAAGTCAAAGTCACAAGGACCAAAAAGAACTATTATGTAAATCAAATAAGGAAAAAGACAAGTATCTCTTACCCTGTGCACACATAAATATTTCTATTCCTTAAATATTTCATATTGATTAGTATCTCTATTCACAAGAGAAGCCACAAGTAAACTAACTAGAGATGTATACATGACACACTTTGGCACTTGTTACTAAAATGGATTTTTCCAACCAAGGGACAATGCCTGGAGAAAACACTACTACCTTCTCCCAAACAGAGTACTACACAAAGTTTCTTCAATCAATGACAGAGGCAAATGTGGCAAAAGCAGCTATTCTGCAAACAGGTGGTTTTAAACTTTTACTTAAGCCACCAAAAGGACTGACAAAAGGAAAATTTTCTCATTCCTAAAGAAAACACACACACACACACACGTTCTACCAGAGTGAGGAACTAAAAGAAAAGCCCCAAACAAAATAGAACAAAAACTAAAAAGCAGTTTGTCTTAGCTCAGAAATGCTGACCTTGATTAAGTATGTATAAAATTACCGTTCATAATTCAGTCTTTCTCATCGCGTACATTAAGGTACTAGGGAGAACTCAAAGGAAATGTCCTTTCAGGTAGGACTATATGGATAGAAAGAAGGATGACATTTTTACCGAAACGGAGTGCAAGAGGGAATCGAAAACTGCTGAGAGGAGAGAAAAATACAGCTTACTTATGTTTTTCTGAGGGCACTGCATTTTTCTTGTTCTCAATACCTTGCTCCGGTCTCCTCTACGTTAAATTATTTCTTAAGCAATACTATGACTCGCGGGGACTGCTACAGCCGACACACAGCTCTCCTTTCATTTCTACTCTCCACCTTTGCAAATAGCAGGATTCAGCTACTGGAGGCGGGGATAGTGGACAAGTGCCCCTGAACGACCTAAAGGGGGGCGAAAGAGTGGGAAATGGGCGCTCCCACACCCTAGGGTCCCCTAGGGTCCACCTCTCTGGAACTCCAGAGCTTCTTCAGTCACTGCCACTTAGGGCAGGACAAGACAGGCTTCCTTAAATCCCCTCCGAAGTAAACAGCCAGGTCCCCACGCAAGGACACCCCTGCAGTCGCGAGAAGTCCCCCACTTCTCTCCCCGCCTGCCCACGCGGGGCTCTGGCCCCGCTGTCCTCCGCCTGCCCCGCAAACCTCCGGCGAAGGAAACTTTCCCGCGTCTCCCACTGTTTTTCCGGGCGCGGTGGTCGCGGAGGCCTCCCCGGCAGCGACCAGCTAAGCACCCCCGCCCGCGCCGGCCGAGCCCGCGCGCAGTCGGTACCTCGATGTCCGCCGCGTCCTTGCTCAGCACAGGGGCCATGGCGGTGTCTACAGTCCGCGGTCACCTAGAGACAGATCCTCCCTGCGTCCTCAGGCTCCAGCCAGAGACCAAAGCGACGGCTCACCGGAGAGCGAGTGGAGAGAGGAAGGAGAGGGCCGGCGGCGCGGGGGCGGGGCGGACACGCCCCCGGGGCGGGGCTGCGCGCCCAGGGCTGCGGCTCCAAGCGCGGGGCAGACTCCACCCGCCCAC